GTGTAGGCATGTATGTATGTATGTATGTATGTATGTATGTATGTATGTATATATGTATGTATGTATGTGCGTATGCGTGTATGCACGCATGCATGCATGCATGCATGCATGCATGCATGCATGCATGCATGCATGCATGTATGTGTTTGTGCGTGCATCCACATGTGCATGCGGCTGCGTGTAGGTACAGGTATGGGTACAAGCATACGTAGGTACATGCGTATAGGTATGTGCAGATGGGTATCTGTGCTCATGCGAATTTCTGTGCTACTGTACGCATGCATACACCTGTGATCACCTGTGCACACAAATTCTTGAATGTACGCTTATGGCTCACTCTCTCAGTTTCTCTGTGTGTGCATGCGCGCATGTACATATATAAATTGCTACACATACATATACGTATATGAATGTGCATGTGCGTGTTTGAGTGTGCATGCCTTTGTATGCCTGCACACATGCATAAATATCTACCTGCCTGAGCACATACATACATAAATACATACATACATACATACATACATACATGCAGACTTACATACTTATACACATAACTACATCAATACATACATCCACATAATCTGTATGCGTATGTATGTACACTTTGAATGTACGCATGTACGTATGCAAGCAGCCAAACTACCCTGAACGGATTTCCGGCTTATCTTTGGCATCAGGTCGGTAAGGTCTGAGCCCATACTCTGCACAGCGGCCCTCGCCAAGGCCTGACGTGAAAGCTTGGAAGCTTCGGTGCCAAACCGAGTCATGGTTCAGGATTTCGACTCTCACAACTTGACCGGGTAAGGAATGTGTGCGACAATCTGCGGTCGGGGAGCATAGCAAATATTTGGGGAACTACCCTCGGCCATCAGCAGAGTCTCTTCTCACCCAACCCCCCCACATAACCACGGAAAGCCTTACCACAATTAGTTAGGAAGCGAAATACGATGTCAAGGACACAGTCAGACCCACCGCAACCGCCATGACATACCGAAAGTCTATCGAAGCCTGAATGTACAGTTATACTACAAGACCTTGCATGCCAAACTCGTTGCCCGAACAAACAACCCTCAACCCAATGCCTAATGCACCACAAGCCCTGGTGCTTGACACTTGCCCCAATGCATGCAAAAAACCTGCCTCGCATTGTTTCCAGGACACAGATTGAAAAGTTTAAAGCATGAGTACCTTGCGGCTCATAGACTCTGCATGTGTTCATGTCCGTGGAGCATATAGATCATAATTACTCACGGTCGCCGTCTTGCCTTCTGGGCTCCGACCACGCGCGTGGTCCTCCGAGGCCCGGTGTTTAAGGCGCTATAGGTATAAGTTGTCATCCATATTGTCACCATGATTACTATTATTATTATTATTATTAGTTGTTCTTATTGCTTCTATAATATGGTTTGTGCTATTGATATTCGTGCTACGTCCGAACCTATTGTTTCCATTATTACTGCTGTTGTTGCTAGTCAGACATCCGAACCCGTTTCAGATTGTTTCTACTCCTGGTGCATTGCGCGGCTTGAGGCTGCGAGTCAAAAATTTTGGGAAGCAGGAAGGCTTTGAAGCCGCTTCGAGTCTCGGGATCGTAGATGTGTCTAATCCCAGGTGCCAGAAGGCTCATGTTCACTGACTTAGGAACCCTATAGGGATTGACTCCAGAACCGAAACCCCGAAGTCCTGACGAAGAAAGACATCTCTAAATCAAGTAGCCAGCTCACGGCTTAGGGCCTGCACCTGATAGTGGCAACCCCTTTCATCTAACCAACAGACATGATGATAATAAGGCTACAAAGCCACATATTCGCCTATGTTGCTCCCAAGCGTACCCCTCAAAACGGAAACAAGCCCAACAAGTCCTGGAGGGTCGTCGAACTTCGTGTGGCACGGCGCAATGACCCCTAACAGTTTTCAGTGTTGACGGTTTCTGGCTTCGGTTGTAGGGCTTTGAGGTTTTAGACTGATAATGACTGGATGACGATGGGTCGGAGATTTGAGGGGTTCAGGGCAATGAGTCCAGCTTTTTGCATCAAACAAAACTTCGAGGGCTCCAGTTTCCAGGTCTGCAGCTTGTGGGTTTAAGGGCCACGGGCTTGTCTCCGAGTGCTTAAAGCTGAATTCTGACCTGGCGTTAGAGCTTTGCCAAGCTAGTTCTCTAAACCGGGGATTCATGAATCGCAGGATCCGGGTCGGAAGTAGAACGCAGGGTAAAGAATCTTGAAACAACATGCCGGCACAACGAGAGGCGCAGAGTCCGACCACCGCGTCGGGGAAGGCAGCTTCTTTTCAGACCTTGCTGAACTTGCCCAAAATCTTCCGTCTTTTAGCACTAGGGCGCAAGACCGGTCAGCTTCCTATCTAGATTACACTACACCAGTATCACCGCAAAGTTTCAAGCCCTTCTGTTGAGGAAGTGAGAAATTAAAATTGCTTTTGGTGTTGTGATCCTAAACCCTAAAATACCCTAGATTGTATTTGCAGTTGTCCAGGGCAGTGCGCTCCTTGACAGGCGGAGCCTTCGTTTCCAGATCTTTTTTCTAGCAAACATAACTATACAGTGACTCTCGGACAATACAATACCATTATCAGAAATGGTGAAGGCCGTATATTATGCCAGGTAGGTCAAAACGTTCATCGCAATTACGCTTCAGTTCATGCCAAGCCTAGCTTACGGCAGCCGCGACTACATGGCTGAAATCGTCGCTGCCTTGGCTGTGCTTCGTCTTTTCCGGCAGAGAGGCTCACGGCTTTCCAGGGTCTAGGGTTTCGGCGCTCACATCTCGGACACTCCAGGGGAGGTTTAGCGTACAGCGCATGCGACTCTTTAATTGCACCTTCCACACTGAACTCACGTCTTTTGCACCAAGAAACTGGGTAAGCAAACATCGCAAACCGAAGGCTCACAGACAGATACTCTTTGAGGGGCCGGCGCTGTGGTCCGGACCTGCTGAATTGGCAGCGTCGCTTCCTGTTCTTGGGCATTGTAAAGGATCCAGGGATGTTCTCGGTAGAAGCTTGCTTGGAGCTCCCCTCTCTGTTTCATTTTGGATGAAGATGAGTCTGGAAATTTTGGTGAATTACCGTCGAGCTTCTGCAACAAAGATGTATAGCACCATGCCGCAGGCCAGCTTCGCCTACGCCGCCACGGAATGGTGGTCACACATGGAGAAGCCAGCACCCCTATAGTTATGCCGCGAAAAACAATTCTTCTACCTCCGGGGAAGGACCCTGCTAAAGCCTGGACGAACAGCGGAAGAAAGTCAGGAACTCGTCCACACCTACAATTCGCAATCTGAAACGAGAAACCCCAGACTCATTCAACGGCTATGACTGTTGCTGAATCAAGGGTTGGTCGCAGTAACAGGCCACGGGCACCACTCGTAGCGAGGGGAGCCCTGGCAAAACTGGCACTGCGACGCAGGCTGTTGCGCGTACGCGTGGTGAGCTTCTGACAGCATGCATGCAGCACCGCCACGTTACAAGCTTGATATAGTTGGGGTTTATGGCGGCTCATGGGGTTCGGACGCATATTGCATGTCGGTTGCGAATAAAGTCTCCGCCCTGCATGATTGGCCAAATGGCTACGCTGTGCCCAAGGCGTCGGGAACAGCATGCATGCGCTTAATATGCCATGTGTATGACTGATATATATATATATATATACATAGATATTATACATATGAAAGCATATGTGCATAAAAGCCTGCGCCTGCACCTGAATGCGAAATCAGGGTTCCAGTCGGCCTGGTGATATGTACATATAAAATATTATACATATATAGATATACATAGAACTAATATACAAAGAGAAGATCATCAATGCAACAGTCCTTTTGATGCTCGCAGGATTTTCCTCCAATTTCCTCGGAGGCCTGCAAGATCGAGGATTCCAGCAGGAGTTTGGGTTTAGGGTGTAGGAAGCCCCGGATTCCGCCTTGTGCAGGCCGGAAGGGCAGTGACTTTCATCGAGCGGTCTGGGAGGCCCAGAAAGCTGCAGTTCCTTTGAGAAGCAAATTGTGCAGCGAAGCGCCGATTCACAACGAGTGTCTCTCTGGCCAATCTATTGGCTTGTAAGGTTACTCGACATTGCAACATTGCCGAGAAGAAGGAGGAGAAAGTGTGCTGCAGCTTGGCCCTGAACCCTAAACCCTGAACC